TGGAGAAGAGACGTTCTCAGGCCTTTAGGATTCAGATTGATGGTTGTTTGCAAGAGCAGTTGACCAGGGAGAAGTGGGGGTGGGAGAGAGGATGATGTCATAGAGTGAATGAGGTCATCACAATGCAGGGCCCCCTGAGGCCTTTCTCAGAGGCACTGAGCCTTCCTCCCCTCTGATCGCTGCAGCCTGTCAAGCCCGGATACCCTGCCAGGAGGGACCTAGAGCCCAGGGTCCTGAGCTCAGGAGGAATCTCAGGGATGGGCTGCAACTCCCACCTGGTACTTTAAAACCTCAGTTCAAGGCTTCTTCTGGAATGTCCCAGCCAGTTTGGGTGGGGCAGTGGGGAATAGTTTGTATAGGGGAGATAAAAGGAGTGGAGGAAAGGAAGAGATTATCAGATCATCTAGAAGAATCCTCCCATTTTACAGGAGGGAAAATGAGGTCCAGGAAAGGAAAGAGGGGATTTGCCTGAGATCACAGCCAGCTGAAAGGAGAGCAGGGCCCAGCACTCAAACCATTTATTACCTAATACTCTTTCCACTCTTCCAGGAAGCACCTACTACTTAGCTTTCCCCTCACGACTCAGCTTTCCCGGGTCTCTAATTCTCAGGCCTCGAAGTACCTGTCTCTGCCAAGGCTCCTGGGCATCACAGACGAAAAGCTCTGTGCTTTGGTTTCTGACGTCTGTGGCCACGGACACCATTCTCCTTCAAAACAGAAGGGGAGGGGGGCACGACTGGAGCAGGAATGCAGGAGTCAGCCACGTGCTGGGGGGCCTCCAAGCCCTGCTTATTTCAGTTCCACAGCAAACCGGAACGTTCGCTCCACATTTCCAAGCGCCTAGCTGTAAAGTGCTGGGGGCTGTGGTGGGTTAGCTCTCTCCATCAAGAGTGGACTTGGACAAGTGGCTCGGGCTCTCTAAACTCAGTTTAGAGAGTTTTCTCGTCTGAGATGGAAATAATAGCAGCACCCGCTCTAAAAATTATTAGGAGTTTAATAATTGACTAGAAAATGACGAGAGAGCGGTCAGCGCAGTGTTGGGCTCGTAGTAAATAAACGTTCAATAAATGCTTGCGAGGCCGGGCGCTGTGGCTCACGCCTGTAATCCTAGCTCTTGGGAGGCCGAGGCGGGCGGATTGCTCAAGGTCAGGAGTTCAAAACCAGCCTGAGCAAGAGCGAGACCCCGTCTCTACTATAAATAGAAAGAAATTAATTGGCCAACTGATATATATAGAAAAAATTAGCCGGGCATGGTGGCACATGCCTGTAGTCCCAGCTACTCGGGAGGCTGAGGCAGAAGGATCACTCAAGCCCAGGAGTTTGAGGTTGCTGTGAGCTAGGCTGACGCCACGGCACTCACTCTAGCCTGGACAACAAAGTGAGACTCTGTCTCAAAAAAAAAAAAATAAATAAATAAATAAATAAATGCTTGCGGCCTTTCCTTATCAATATTACGCCAGTCCGCCCGCGCCGTCTTGGCGGACTTCCTGCGCCCACTCCGGCCACACGGTGGCGTTAGAGGGTCGTGTCGGGCCGTGCAGTGCAGTGTCGGGCCCGCAGCGCGCCGCCTCGCGCGGGCACCGCCCAGCGCCTTCCGCGATGGCAATGAGCGGCCGGGGTGCTCGTGTCCGCCGTGACTCGCCTGCGCCACCACGCAGAGGCGGCAGCGCAGTTCCGTCCGCCGCGCCCCCTGGGATTCAAACGACAGGATCAGGGGCGCTCAGCCTGGCGGGCCTCCGGAACTAGGGGGGCCTCCTTAGATCCTCACAGACACACTTGTCCCCACTTTACAGATGGGGACACCAAGCCCCATCGGGTGCGCGCCCGCCAGAGAGGAGCCCTCCGACTCCCGGCATCCACGCGAGGGTTCCTGACCCCTCAGAGTCCCGCTGCGGGTGACGGGTGCAGTCCCCCGCTCCGCCTCCGGCCGGCACTCCCGCCTCCTGGCCGGCGAGTGGCTCCCCAGGTTCTTGTGGCGCATCTGTGGGACCGCTGCTTGTGCAAGGAGGGCATAAGGGCCAGCTGGAGCAGAAGAGGGAGCAGAAGAGCCCAGTGGCCCCACCCCGACCGGCCTTTGGGGGCTCCCGGAAAGTGTCTTGACATCCAAGCCCTTGCACCTCTCCCAGGCATTGGCGAGAAGGTGCAGAGGGGAGCTGCTCTGGTGTCCTCCAGCCTGGGTCCCAAGCCCCACCGCGGACCCACAGGACGTCCTTTGCGCCCACTGAAAACTTGCCAGCCTCGGGAACAGGAGACTCCAGCTCTTTCCCTCCCTGGCTTGGTAATGTTCTCGTTCTCATTGTCTCACTTCCTCGTCCTTTCATTCCCCGTCTAGCCTTTTCCTTATCTTGGGATTTGATACTTAGAAAACTATTTGAAAATACCCTTTAATGCTGAATTGGTTCCTCAGTCTCTTGAGATGTGATGTCTGCCCCATACTAAGAACTTCTGTTTTCCCCATTGGAAGAAGGTTTAGATTTCAGCCCCCTCTGCCAGAGACCAGCTGTGTGGCTTAGTGAGTCTGTCTCTGTCCACGCTCTCCCTATGAGAATAATTAAGCGTTAAATGCCTCTCCTGCTCTGACCTCCTGAGAAGCAGCAGCAACTTGGGTGAAGGATGAGACCTCTTGGTACTGATGCCAGACACCTTCTCGGTCCCGTGGGCATCCAGGCTGGCAGACCTCACCTCCAGGGGTATTTCTATCCAGAATCGGGGAGGGGGTGGGCCAGGCCCTGCTGCTTCACATGCTTCTTTTCCCCACATGCTTCAGCTTTGGTGGCATTTCAGTGGCTATGTTTCTGTTTCAGGTCCCAGAGCACCAAGGCAGGAAGGAGCTCTCTCATCAGACGCTTCCAGCAGAAAGTTGGGCCTGGATCCAAAAACAACAGATGCTGGTGTGGATGCGGAGAGAAAGGAACACTTACATACTGTTGGTGGGACTGCAAATTAGTACAACCTCTATGGAAAACAGTGTTGAGATCCCTCAAAGAACTAAAAGTAGACCTACCATTTGAGCTAGCAATCCCACTACTATTTACCCAAAGAAAAAGAAGTCATTTTATCAAAAAGACACCTGCACTCTTAATGTTTATTGCAACACAATTCACAATTGCAAAGATGTGGAATCAGCCCAAGTGGCCATCAATTCATGAGTGGATTAGCAAAACGTGGTACATGTATACCATGGAATACTACTCAGCCGTGAAGAAGGATGAATTAAGGCCTTCTGAAACAATTTGGATGGAACTGGAGACCATTATCCTAAGTGAGGTGTCTCAAGACTGGAAAAAAACCCCACCACATATACTCACTATTAAATTGGAACTAATTGATGAGTACACATGGGCATAGAGGGAAGTAAAACTCAGTGGAAATCAAGCAGGGGGGAGGAGAGAGTAGGGGATGGGTGAAAAACTACCTAATGGGTACAGCGAACACTATCTGGGTGATAAGCATAACAAAATAAATACATGTAACCAAAAACATTTGTAGTCCCACAATATTTTAAAATAAAAAAAAAAACTTTAAAAAAATAAACAGAAAGTTGAGCCTAGGGAGTGTCATGGAGACCTGAAAGGATCTGATAGACCTAACTCCATGTGCTGGACCTAGTACAGCTGGATAAATTGAGTCCCAGAGAGAAGGGGCTTGCTTAGCCCCCTTGCTTAGACCTCTGAGAGGTCACAGAGCTAGGGCTTGGACCCAGGGCTCTTTCTCCTTCCCCCGCCCGCTGGCTACAAAGGAGAGCTGGAAATCTGGTCTGTTCTCTGCTATTGTTGTATTGTGGGACTTGCCATCTTTAAGAAATCCATTTAAAGGCCGGGCAAGTTGACTCATGCCTGTAATCCTAGCACTCTGGGAGGCCAAGGCAGGAGGTTACTTGAGCTCAGTAGTTTGAGACCAGCCTGAGCAAGAGTGAGACCCCGTCTCTAATAAAAATAGAAAAGTTAGCCAGGCATGGTGGCGTAGTCCCAGCTACTCAGGAGGCTGAGGCAGGAGGATTGCTTGAGCCCAGGAGTTTGAGGTTGCTGTGAGCTAGGCTGATGCAATGATACTCTAGCCCGGCCAACAGAGCAAGACTCTGTCTCAAAAAAAATAAAAAAGAAAGGAAAAATCCATTAAAGAAGTGAGATTAGTGCCCACCTGCTCACTGCTCAGCCAGCTTCGCTGTCTGGCTTCTCTTCAGCCCTGGAAAGCTCCCTTGGCCCGGCGTTTTCCTTAATCCAGCCAACTGCGGAAACAAACTCCAGCCTGCAGAGGCTGGCTCCATGCCAAGTTGCTCCACCTGGTTTTGTATGTGTATACTGGGGCTGCAGGGTGTCCCCAGGAGCTACCAGAAAGTTCATTGGCTGGCAGCTTGCCAGGTGTGGCCAGAAAAGGACCTCAGCCAGGTCTCTTCATGCCACCCATCCTCGGCTTCCTGCCAGACTCAGCACTTTCTGTTCATGGTGACACCTTACAGGAGGAGACGGTAATATTCTAATCTTTGGGGACCATCAGTTGATCTATCAGTTTGTTGGGAAGCCCCGAACAAAATGAGGGGCATGTTTTAAAGATACACAGATTCGGCCTGGAACTAGAAAGCTCAGGATCAGTTTCTCAGTAACTTCTCCTCTTGTGTCTCTCTAGCTGGCTTTCTCACTTCTGGGTATTTCCTGCTCAAAACTTGGCTCCCATACAGCTTTGGTTTGCCAAGCCCCTAATTTGAATTCACGGCATCCTTATTTTTTCAGTTTCACTGGTAAATTAATTCTCTCCACATTTCTTAGCTTGAATTCCCAGCCCATGGCCAGCCTGGGGATTGGCTGCCATGGGGCCCGACGTCCACCTTGGTCCAATCAGCCATGTGCTGGTGGGTCACATGGTTGAAAGCATGGCGGTGTGAGCAGTACAATCCACAGGCTTGGGCTTGGAGGTCTTTCTGGGGCTTGAGTTTCCAAGACTGGGATTCGGAGTCATGGATCGTCTCAGCCCCGACTAATGAATCACATTGGAGGAAGATATTACACAAAGAAAAAGTTTATTGTCTTATTAGTCAATATCCCTAGGTGAAGTGAGTGGAACGGTGTGAGGCTGTTCACAGTGCGACAAAGACCTCGAGCACCAGCACGCTGCTGCAAAGACTGGCCTGCCCACACTCCTGTCGTGGGGCTGGCCGCCCCTCACTCCCGCCCCTGCTGTCTGGACAGATGGGGCTGCCATGGTGTCAGGGACACTAGGCTTGGCATCTGGGTTGGTCCCTCCCATATGGACCTTGTGAGATTGCTATTCAGGGGAACCAAGTATAGTTTGAGGCAAAACACTGAACCAAATTAGCGTTTCTAAGCCCCCTGCCTGGGACATCTCCCTGGAACATTTGGGCTTGTCACACATTCCGGGAGGGAGCAACAGCACAGCTGCAGCCACAGTTGCCAGGAACAGGCCTGGCTCCGGCCCTGAGTAGGGGGAGGGCAGAGGCTGGAGGGCTTCCTCTAGGGGCTCGAGTGAGCTCAACCCTCACCCCCACTCTCTGACTTCATCCATCTGAGGCCGCTTGGCCAGGAGCCCAGGCAGTATGAGGGTCTCCCTCCCACTGCAGGCCTGGGCCACCTAGCGGAGGTGGGGGAGGGGAGCTTCAGGCCCCGCCCAACTCCCCAGAAAGCAGGGGCAGCATATTGAGCTCTGAAACACCAGAAAAGTTTAATAAAAAGTGGGAAGAGTGGGGTGGGGGGAAAGAGGCGGTGGTGGTAGTGGTATTTTGCTATTTAAAGGTAGAAAAATGCAAGGAAGTAAAGCTTTTCTCTGTTTGTTCTTTGGCAATCCCATTAGGCGTGCAGGAGAAAGCCACATTTTACAACTGACGAATCTCAATGATTCTATCGATTGGAGCCCTGCCTGCCGCACGTTTCCAGTGGAAGCTGCTTTATATTTACATGTTTAAAGCTGTATTTTATGTCACATTTAAATGAGGGTTTAATACTCTTAAATATCTACCAAAAGTAGATTACAATGCATGAAGATCACATAAAATGAACTTCACTTCTCAGCATCACAGATAACAAATATTTTGAATACAGAAAGTCCAGGGATGGATATTAGAAGTAAGAAAAGGTACAAAAGAAGTTGGCTTAGAAACACCAAATTTAGAAAAAAATTGACTTCTCCCCCAAATCCAAACAATTGCGGTCTAGGTAACCACCAGAGTAAATGCTTCCTATGCTCGTCCCTTTAATACGAATGTGCTCCCGCGGCACTGTATGTGCAAGTGTGTGTACAAGAGACGCTCACGCACGTCACACACACAAGCACATACATCCACAGGGACAGGCACACAGCTGGGTTTTGGTTGTTCTAGGCACTTCGTATCCACATTCCCATTACTTTGGACAAGTTACTTCTTCGGAGGCAGGACATTTTCTTCGAAGAAGCCCTGGTTGACGACATTCCCTGCTGGGAAGTATCTGGCCACCACGAAGGAGGAGCCGTCACTTGCAGATGCTTTCCCCACGCCCATCTTCTTTGTGTTCTTCCACACCATGGCCGTGAAGTGTCCTGTAGGGGAACAGGCAGAGGGACAGGGAAACAGGTGACTTAGCAGAGCCTTAGGAAGGACACTGCAGAGGATTCTCGAACCCCCGTACCACCTTGCCAGGCTTAGGGCAGTGTGATTTTCAGACACCAATCACAGGAAGGAGTGACAAAACACACCACTCGTGTGACTTCTGAAGCGGGCCCTTTCAATCAACCACACAGACCTCACCCACCTCACCACTTTCCGAGGGTCTTCCAGAGATCATGACAAAACCTGGTGACCCCAACAATTATGATGCCACTCCACCTGGCACCTGCCTCCAACCGGGCCCCCAAACTGTACTCTTCAAGGTCCCTAATGTCCTGCATGCTACTCTCCAGAAGCTCCTTTTTTGTCTTCATCTTCTTTGACACTTTAGGGACATTTGCTACAGTCATCTCCTCCCCTCTTTTGGTTTCCATGATGCCACTGTCTCTTGGTCTTTGTCCTGTCTCACTGCCGCCTCCTTCTCCTCCTCCACCTCCCCAGTAAATGCTGAAGGACCTGCATTTCCCCGGCTCCATCCTGGGCTCTCTTTTGTTTTCTCTCTGCACTCTTTAGATGATTTCATCTTTCCCTGGTTCCCACATTTATTTCTTCAGCTCAAATCTCTGCTCTGTGTTCCAGACACAAGTACTTACCGGACATTTCCACTTGGCCGACTCATAGGCATTTAAAATCTAACCTATCCAATCTCACTCTCGATTTTGCCCCCCCCACACACAGATTAAGTCCTCTCCTAGCCCTCCGCTTTCCATCAGCTGCACCTCCGTGCACACCGCTAGGGGTGACTCTGCACTCCTCCCTCTGCCTCATTCAATCCTGAAGAATCCAACTTTAAAATACATCTCGAGCCATCCATCCCAAATCCTTGGTCCCAACCACAAACGTTTCTCACCTGGACCACTGCAGTAACCTGACGGGTTCTATGGAACCCACCTTGGCCCCTCCAATCCCTTTTCCATTTACAAATTCAGAGTGATCATTTTGAGACACAAATCACATCTGTTTACTTCCCTGCTTAAAAATCCTTCGCTCACTTCCAAGTGCACCTAGAGTGAATGGAAGGCTTCGGCCGTGGCCGCCTCTCCATTCCTGAACACACGGGGTTATTCCCCACCACGGAACCCTGGCACACACTGGCCACTGTGTGGGGCACTCCTGATCACCAACAGCTCTTGTCCCTTAGGTCTCAGGCCATATGTCACTTGTTCAAAGAAGGCTTTTGCAATCACCCTTTTATTTACTAAACACCTCCCTTCCAGGACATTCTTACCACACCCTGTTTTTCCCTTCAGAGCATTCTTACCATTTGCAATGATAAATGTGTTTGATTACTTGATTATTGTTTGGCTCCTGCACCTGACTATGAGTCCCATGTAGGCAGAGACCAGGTTTGTTTTATTCACCAAAATACACCCAGTGCCTTGGCATAGTCTGGCACATGAAAAGTGTAAAATAAACTTTTGTTGAAGGGATGAATGGACTAAATGAAGGAAAGTCGTATGGAAGAATCATCTTAGACTCAGCCTCCACTTGCCCAGGAAGTGCAGGCCTCCTATGTTCTGAGGTCTTTGAGACCTTGACAAGTTCCAGCCTCGTTCAAGTCCCTCTGCTCTGAGCCAAAAGGCCCAGTTCCTTTCCAAGCTGCTGCTCCAGCCTCCAGACACTTCTGTGTCTCGTGAAGCTTCTTGGCACCAGCGTCCCACTTCTCAGGCTGTCTTCACTCGCTGGTCTTTTTAAACTACTAACATAGCTCAGCTGACAACTCTCCTCCCATTTGGGGGTCAAAGAGTTGATGCTGTAATTGCATTCTTTGCTCAATGATCATAAATTCTTCTCATCTCTCGGGAGTAGATGTAAGGCACTCATCCCTCCCATCTCCATCGTTTAGCGCTGGCAGACATCAATGGGACATTTACTTCCACGTCACAGGATGGCATTCATTTGCTAAAGCAACCCTGAAGAGATTATGTTTCCTCCTAAATATCTGGCTTGCAATTGGGCAAGCTATGTGAGGGCAGACACCGCATCTGTGTTAGTGACCACCATATTCCCAGTGTTCAGCACTCAGCTTGGGACATAGTAGATGCTCAATAAATATTTGGTGAATAAGGAAGAGACAGAAGGAAGGAGGAGGAGGAAAAGCATGATCAGAGCAGCTAAGTTTCCCATAAGGTGGTTGAGAAAGAAAGAGGACAACCACCTCACACACATTAGGATGGCTATAAAAAACAAAAAGAACAATAAAAGAAAATGACAAGTTTTGGCAAGGATGTGGAGAAACTGGAACTCTTGCACATTGCTGATAGGAACGTGAAATGGTACAGCTGCTGTGGAAGATAGTTCCTCAAAAAATTAAACATAGAGTTACCATATGATTCAGCCTCCAGGTTTACACCCAAAAGTGCTACAAGCGGGATTCTGATCTTTATACACTCACGTTCACAGCAGAGAGGCTAAACAACTGGCGCCAAATCATGCAACCTAAATGTCCATCAACAAAAGCATAAACAAAATGTAGTGTGTGTGTGTACACACAATGGACTATTCTACAGCTTTAAAAGGGAATTCCGATATACGCTATAATATGGAGAAACCTTGAAAATGTTATGCTAAGTGAAATAAGCCAGACATGAATGGAAAAACATTGTATGACTCCATTTATATGAAGCACCTGGTCAAGACTGAAAGTAGAAGTGGTTACCAGGGGCTGGGGTTGGAGGTGGAGGAGGGAGGGATGGGGAGGAGCTATTGTTGAAGGGTCCAGAGTTTCAATTTGTAAAGATGAACAAGTTCTGGAGATAGATGGTCATGATTGCACAACGGTATAGATATATTTAATGCCACTGAATTACATATTTCAAAATGGTTAATGGTGTAAATTTGATGTTAATGTATGTTCTACAAAATTGAAGAGAGAGAGGGAGAGACAGACAGACAGATACTGGTATCCACACTCTCCTAATCCTTCAGGAAACACCCAAATTGGTACTTCCCATTGCAACTTGCATACGGTAAGGACTAAAAAAAAAGGTTCATTGATTAAATTCCACGTTTCCCCCCAAAGTTGAACTCCATTTTTATAATTTTTAAATTTAGGCCGGGCGCGGTGGCTCACGCCTGTAATCCTAGCACTCTGGGAGGCCGAGGCGGGCGGATTGCTCAAGGTCAGGAGTTCGAAACCAGCCTGAGCAAAAGCGAGACCCCGTCTCTACTATAAATACAAAGAAATTAATTGGCCAACTAATATATATAGAAAAAACTAGCCGGGCATGATGGCGCATGCCTGTAGTCCCAGCTACTTGGGAGGCTGAGGCAGCAGGATTGCTTGAGCCCAGGAGTTTGAGGTTGCTGTGAGCTAGGCTGACGCCATGGCACTCACTCTAGCCTGGGCAACAAAGCGAGACTCTGTCTCAAAAAAACCCCAACAATTTAGATATAATTTATTTATTTGTCTATATCCACAAAGGATTTGAGGTTACTAAATTCTTTAGGAAAATAACCAAATGTAAGCACTAATCCATATAGTTAATATGATATAATTGAAGCAAGAATTAAAAGAAAACAAACCCTAAGTACAATTGTGCATCTTTATCACTTTCCTTTAAAGTTGTATTAATTGCTACTTCGTAAACCCTGGTTTTATGCTCAGAATAGAGGAGAAGCTCTTCTTGCCAATGTGTTCAAATTAGTATAAGAACACCCTTGGTTTTTTTTTCTCTTTCTTTCTTTCAAATCTACCCTTGGTTCTTATATTTTTGAGTCACAGCTCCAGGCTCCCAGCAGCTTTGCCCAGTGTCACTGCTTCTGTGAGGCTGTCTGCTCACTCGGGCTCAAGCCCTTTCTCACACAAGCCTCTCTCAAGAGATCACACTCGTTGGCCGTTGACCCACTCCCTCTCTCTGTCTCCCAGAAAAGGAAGAAGCTGCCATTTATCCACTGGTTGCCAAGCAAATTACAGGCACAAAGTGCACATCAGCAGCCCAAATGCCTGTGACAGCTTTTTCCAAACAGATGAGGCTAAGCAATCTTTCCTCTTGCTGGGGAGGTTTCTGTCTGCACAGAGATAATTAAGTTATGGGTACGTAGAGATTAATTAAAGGACACAACTTCCTTAGCAACCATTAGATACACACTGGTTTCTAATTCTAATCTACTAACAAAGGTTCCTTTTTCTTTTTCCTAAAGGGATCACGTCCTCTTTCCTGCCATGGACTCAAAATTTCTAGAATATACCTTTGAAAAACGTATTTAATAAGTTATAGTATATCCTGGCAAGTATTGTGTGTATATCCTGCACAATAATGTGCAACAGCAAGAAAGAATGAGCAAGCTCGTTTTGTACTAATATGGAACAATCTCTGACAAGTGTAAAAGAGACCATATACTTTGACACCAGCGTGTGAAAAAGGGGGAAAGAGAACATATGTCCACAAATGCTGGCAGAAGCTCAGGATAACTCCAGATTGATGCACAAGCAACTAGTATCTCTGGTTGCCTTTTGGGAGGGAAAGTGCTGGAAGTCAGGGCTGGAAGGAAAACTTTCCGGCTTATATCAATTTTCATATCATGTAAAAATACTATTCATTCAGAATAAGTAAACAAACCTACCTATTTAAACAGAATATATCAAAGTAATTATAAGAAACCATTTCTCTCCACTCAGCACATAGCTGAGAACAGTGTTCATCACCAGGTGGGGTTGGGGGTGGGGATGGATTACAGAATATTTCAAAGGTCCTGTCTCCTACAACGTGGACTCAGGTCAGGGAATCCCTGAAAAACAGTGCAGCAAGAAGGTGGGCAAGGGGTCTGGGGGAGGCTGAGGCAGGGTGGGCCTGAGGATCTTTAAGGGTCTTGCAAGCCCCAATTATGACACCACCCAAAGCCCCACTCCTGTCTTAGGATCAGGCTCGGTCTGTTCCCAGGCATTGCCCACTGGCACAGGGGCTGCCTGCCCTGGGGTTTTTCCTCTTTAGAAATGTGGGGTGAGGGGTGAAACAGGCAGTCAGTGATCATGAAAACTTGAGCCCCATTCTCAGCCACTGACTCTTTTGAGATTCCTACCTTAGAGCAGGGGGCATGGAAAAGGCATTAGAACAGGGCCAGAAGGCATGAGAAAAGCCTCTTCTCTTTTGTAGGCCTCAGTTTACCTCTCTGCAAAATGGGTAGAATAAAGCTCTGCTTTCAAGCAGTGTCGTGAGGCTGCTGTGGCGGTGGATGTGGAGGCCCTTTACAACTATCCTGTGCTGTGCACACACATGAACAGCACTAATAACTCACTCTGGCACAGTCCGATTGCTCCAGAATCTTGCTCACAGCTAAAGCAAACCCACAAGGTATGAAATACAATGCCTTGTGGAGACTGATCTTTACTGACAGAAGACAAGGTTCTGCCTACACATCCTCACTTGAGGGTAGGAGGCTGTTACTGCTCCCTCCCCTGAGCATGACAGCAGCCTCCCTGGCCTGGGCCTCGGGAGTCAGCTGCGAGGAAAAAGGCCCAGCAGATGCTTCTGCCTCTGCCCAGAGTCCCACCACACGGCTGCGGTTGCGAGAACCCCTGCTCCTAAGGGCGGGCAGCAAACGACAGGAAACGGTGACTGGCTCTGAGAACATGTCACTTCCTGCCTCTGAAGCAACCTCCAGAGGGTGGAAGGTCGCAAGGGGCTCCTGTGGGTGAGACAAGGGTGGGGTGGGGAATGGGGTGGGCACAGAACCCCCTTTTCGGCTTCCCTAGTGCCTTCTGGTCAGCGAAGGTCACACCCCCTTCTCACAAGGGCCTGGGCCGCAGGTGGAGTCTGAATCGGTTCTGAGGAAAGACAAGGGCCAGGTGAGCCCTAGGGCACAGTCAACTGAGTGGTCCCCGCTTACCGTGGAGGAGGCCTGGAGAAGGGCATGGGCCCCAGGGAAGGCTCTCCCTGCTCTGAACCACCAGCTCTCAAAATGTCCCTTAGAAGCCACCACCTTGTCCCTCTCCCTTGGGGAAAGGGAACTGACCCATGTTCATACAACAAATAGTGCCAGAGCTGAGACTAGATCCAACATCTCTGCATCCCAAGCTCATCTGAACCACAAGCTAGGGTGAAGGGGGAAGGAAAAATGCCAGGGAGGCTGAGGGTAGGGAGCTCCATGGGAAGGGTGTAGGGTGTGGATGAGGCCCCTCCCTGATGGCCCCAGGGAGCCACAGCAGTTTAATCAGGAGAGCAGCACTGGACAGGGGTAGAAGTGTTCGGGTCACTGGGAGGAGGATGGGTTGGAGGGAGCAGGGTGACCAGCTAAAGGTGCTGAGGCACCAACATAGGAGTAGAGCTCTAAGTGGCTTTTAAAATCCAGTCTCCTATGACACAGTCTGTGAAGTGCAGAGCCCTGAGCTGCTGGGGCAGGGCCAGTGCTGGGACACTCTCAGGTGGAGGGCACGTGGGGGTGGCTGGCCAGGTGCTGGGAAAAAGAGAGCTTTGCCCTCTGGGCACAGTCAAGCCAGTGAAATATGGAAGAGGCAGAACTGCCCAGGGCTGGCTGCTGATGAGATCCTGTCACTCACCAGTCCCCGAGGTGAAGCCAGGCTGCTGGAAGTTGTAGTTCTTGATCTCGCCATACCATCTATCAGCCACCTCCTTTCCTGTATGGAAATGACATTGTTCTAAAACTCAGCAACAAAATCCACCCACTCCCTATTCTCTGCATCTTCTCCCGTCAACCCCAAACCACCCATCCCGCAAATAGACGTCTGATAAAGCAACAATGAGCTGAAACACCTTGGGTGCTCCTTGCAGGCGCCTAGGGACTCCTGCCCACGAGCACGCCCAGGCTGAAGAGTGGGCCTTCTTGGGGCTTGGGAAGAGCCCTGGCCTGGGTCAGGGAACCTGTATCTGTGCCCCCCTGAGCCCCCACCACTGACTCGCTGCATAGTCCTGGGCAAGGCCTTCCCCTCTCTGGGCCTCTGTACAACAAAAAGGTCGAATGCAATGTGCTTCAGGGGTCTTCTAATGATGCTTGCAGTTTCTGGGAGACTCTGCCCTCATCCCACCCCACACAGCCACCCCATGTGTGGCTCCTGAAATGGCACAGAAGAAAAGACAATTGGGCCAGCAAGCCAAGGGTCTCCTCCACTGCAGGCAGGAGGCCCTCGCCTGGAGCGTGTGCTGGCCCACAGTGGTGACCTGAGACGGCAGTGCCCTGGAGGCTGCTGGTCTCAGAGCCAGAGGTGAGAGCCTTGGACTTCAGAGCAGTCAGTCTCAAAATTTAACATGTGCGTGAATCACCTGGGGATCTTGTCAAAATGCAGATTCAGATTTCAGTAGGTCTAGGGAGGGACCTGTGGTTCTGCCTTTCTGTCCCCAGGTGCTGTTGCTGAGCCATGGTCCACACACATTAGCCTCACCTGGAGAGCGTTTAAAACTCACTAGGCAGGGGTCCTCAAACTTTTTAAACAGGGGGCCAGTTCACTGTCCCTCAGACCGTGGAGGGCCATTGGAGAGTGCGGCGCACATTCCACACATGCGCACTGTGGGCCCGGGACGAGTTGGCTGCTAAGCAGGACAGGCAGCGGTGGCAAAAACACCCGGCGGGCAGGATAAATGTCCTCGACGGGCCGTATGTGGCCTGTGGGCCATAGTTTGAGGACCCCTGCACTAGAGCCTGGGTCCTTCCTCAGATTGTCTGTGCCAGTATCTCTGGAGGACAGACCCAGGCACTGGCTTTTTTTCAAAGCTCCACAAAAGATTCCAATGTGTGGTCAGAGTAGGAACCGCTGCCTTAGAGATCACTTACCCCACCCCCTCTCTGCAGAGGCCAGACAGTGGCTTGCTCAAGGCTCCTCAGGGAGCCACTGCAAGGCCAGCATGAACGCTGCCTCCAAACTGCCCACTTTCCCATCCTGTGTCCTCCCCGGACCCGTAAGGGCCACTGCCTGGGCCTGGGGAGGGAGTCGCTGCCCACACCTCTTTCAGAGGGGGCACTGTGGGCCTCGCTGTGCAGGGAGCCCTGGGTCAGGCTGTGCTGGGGAAGCCGGGAGGACTCAGGGGGCTTCCCCTGGGAGCTCCCAGGAACATGAGGTCAGGGAGGGAGTGAGTCATTCTCCGGCTGGGGTTTGGAAGAAGCTTCAGAGACCCAGACAGCTTTCTCCAGTACTCTTCCTAAAAAGCCACTTTAGGGCCGCTGGATCCAGGAAGCTCAAGAATGTTTGGTCAGTGTGGTGGGATCATTCCAGACTGAGACCTTGGATGGAGGAATTGTCTTTTCCATTATTTTTTTTTTCAAAAACAGAAAAGGCTCTATTGCTTTTTTCCAGTTACAAAAGCTATATGTTAGCACTTAAAAAATTAGAAAAATGTAAAAAAAGTAAAATTTCTCGTTAGCTGGGGATGCTTTGGTGCCCACAGCATCAGGCTGAGACTTTGTACAGACTCAGTCTGTCTCCCCCACCCCCACTCCTCGGCCTGGGAGCTCTTCCGTAAGAAGGGGCCGGTCAGTCTGACTCATCTCTGTGTCCCTGGCACCCAGCACAGGCCTGGCCCTGAGCGGCCACCAGAGACCTTGTGGTGAACTGAAGTCAGCCTGGGAGCAGATTCGGAGCTCCGGGCTTCCTTTCCCTTTCTGGACTTGTGGCCACACCACAACTAAACTACCGAGGGCGCTGGGGCCAGGAGGGGTTTGAGACCCTGTCCTAGGTCCAGCTGCGGCGGAGAGGAGGGGAGACAAGAAAGCGACCCACCTGTCTGATCGTAGGATGCCCACGCGAGGTTCTCCCCACACTGGCCACGGCTGGACTCCGGGCTGTGCTTGAGGATCCTCGTGCTGGCCAGGGCCTCAGAATACCTGCCGGGGTCCACAGGGCTTCCTCAGGGTGGGCGCAGCCCTGGAGACCCCCCAAAGTATGAGCCCAAGCTAGTGTCGCTGAGTTTCCTTCCCTGTCCTGGACGCGCCGAGGAGGTAGAGAAGCAGCACACCTGCCTGCTTCTGAGCCTCCCAACAGCCCCATTTTATAGAGGGACAAACTGAGGCTCAGAGGAACAAAACGACATGCCTAAGTGAGTGGTACAGTGGTGATTCAAGCTTGGCTGCACCTGACCCCAAAACCCATGTCCCTCCAACCACCCCACAGTCCTCCAAGACTGCAGCAGCAGTGCCGTGAAGGGCCCAAGCCACCCCGGTGTGCTGGTGCACTCACTGCTGAGCCTCCTGGTTGAGCTTCTTGCAGAGCTTCAGTGGGGGGACGCCGTGCTGCTGTCGGTACTCATTGTGGGCCTTCAGGACCTCGTTATGAAATTGTTTGGAAGCTGGAATGATTGCAAGACAGAGAACGGCTCAGTGCAGGCAAAGACCCACCAAAGTATAATGGCTTCAGAGCAACTCCACTCACTGTGGCTCCACTCCCAGCCACACGCTGGGTTGCTGCTCCCCTCCGACACCCGGCACCCCCTTCAAGTGGCCCCGCTCCACACTGCTGCTCGTCCTGTCTCCACCCAGCACCGGCTTCCGCATCTCTGCACACCAAACCCCCATGGATTACGTGGGCCCTTATGGGCCATCTTAGGGATTCGGGTCTCTATCCAAGGCAACACAAGCCCTGAATGGGTTCAGGGGAGTGAGCTGCTCAGATTTGTGTTTCTGGAGGTGCACGGCAGGTTTGGGGGCCTGGACAGCCAGCAACAGGACTTCTGAAAGAACCTGTGGTGGGCAGTGGGGACTGGAAAGGGCTAGATTTGGGGGTCCAGAAAGAAGTGGCTGGCTGGAGTGCAGGGTGCCCAACCTGGAGTGGTGAAACCAAGGAGACAGAGGGGCAGATGACAAAGAGGGCGAGGGAAGGGCAGCGTTGGGGAAATGGAGTGACCTGGTTAAATTTAGGTATCACTTTGACAGGAATCAGGAAGACCTAGGGAACTGCTAAAGCATTATTTTGGGGTGTGTTTGTGTGGGTGTTTCCAGAAGTGATTGCCGTGGACTAGGTGGGGAAGGTCTGTCCTCAGCGTGGTGGGCACCATCCTATTGGACAACCTGAGGGCCCAGGCAGAAACCTGCCATGGGGCAGAGCCACCGCAGGGTTCCCACTAGGACAATACCCAGTGGAGCCGTAGAAGTGGGGCCACTCCCAAGACCCCAGAACTGTAGAGCTACCAGTGTACAGCACCAGCCTGGGAAAGCCCCAGGCTCAAGACTCCAACCTGAGAGGGCTGAAGTGTGGACTGAGCGCTGCAAAGCCGCAGGGGTGAGGCTGCCTGAGTCCTCGGGGGCTCCACACCCACCCCAGTGTGCTCAGAAGGCGGGACACAGAGTCAAAGGAGATTATCCTTAAGATTTAATGTTGTTTTCCCTGTTGGGCTTTGGATTTAGTTGGGACCTACCCCTTTCTTCTTGCCTATTTCTCCCTTTTGGAATGGGAATGTCTATCCCATACCTATCCCACAACTGTGTATTGGAAGTAAATAACTTGTTTTTGGTTTTGTTTTTTTTTTTTTTTTTTTTTGAGACAGAGAGTCTCACTTTGTTGCCCAGGCTAGAGTGAGTGCTGTGGTGTCAGCCTAGCTCACAGCAACCTCAAACTCCTGGGCTCAAGCAATCCTACTGCCTCAGCCTCCCAAGTAGCTGGGACTATAGGCATCCACCACCATGCCTGGCTAATTTTTTCTATATATATTAGTTGGCCAATTAATTTCTTCCTATTTAGAGTAGAAACGGGGTCTGGCTCTTGCTCAGGCTGGTTTTGAACTCCTGACCTCGAGCAATCTGCCTGCCTCGGCCTCCCAGAGCGCTAGGATTACAGGTGTGAGCCACCGTGCCCGGCCTAGAGATTTTGGACTTTTTGAGTTGGTACTGGAATGAGCTAAGACTTGGGAATATTAGGATGGAATTAATTTATTTTGTATGTGAGAAGGACATGAGCTTTAGTGGGCCAGAGATGGAGTGCTATGGTCAGAATGTCCCCTCCAAAACTCATGTTCAAATTTAATTGCCGGTGTAACAGTATTGAGTGGTGGGACCTTTAAGAGGTGATTAGATCATGAGGGCTCTGCCCTCATGAAAGGATGAATTCTGTTATTGAGGGATGGGCTCCTGATACAAGGAAGAGCTTGGCCTGATCTTCTCTCTCTGTCTCGTGTGTTTGTTTGCCCTTCTGCCCTTCCACCATGCAATAACGCAGCACGAAGTCCTCACCAGATGCTGGTGCCATGTTCTTGGACTTCTCAGTCTCCAGAACCATGAGCCAAATAAAATTCTGTTCTTTATAAATTACACAACCTATGGTATTCTATTAGAGCAGCAAAAATCAGACTAAGACACAGAGTAAGGGAAAAGTGTAGAAAAGAAAGTGGTGGTGATGGGAGGGTGACTGCTGTGATCAGTGGGCCCAGGGTTGAAGTCAGGGAAGAGGTGGAGCCCATGTCCAATTGGGTCATGACTTCAGAAATGGCAGGGTCAAGAAGGCTGTGGTTAGTGTAAGAATAGGTGGGTGAAGCCAAGGTCAAGCAAGGTTGATAGTGAACAAATACCACACCAATTTGGGTCTGAAATGGAACCCCAACATCTTCCATCCATCCAACATCTTCCATCCATTCATACATCCTTCCAACTATCCATCCATCCATCCATCCATCCATCCATCCATCCATCCATCCAATATCTTCCATGCAACCAAAATTCATCTAACTTCCCATCCCTCCAACATCCTCCACCCATCCACCCAATATCTTCTATCCATCCATCCATCTAATATTTTCCATCCATCCATCCATCTGTCCAATATCTTCCATTCATCCTCCATCTACCCATCCATCCAACATGCATCCAACATTCTCCATCCATCCATCCAATATCTTCTATTTATCCAACATCATCCATCCAACTATCCTCCATCCATCTCTCCATCTGTTCTCTCAGTGCCTTCCTTGTGCCAGGTCCCATATGTGTCCTAGGGATCCAGAGACAAATCAGCCATATCCTGCCCTCAAAGAGCTCACACACAGAAGGGAGACAGCCCTGTAAACAGAGACTAGCTGTGTGATAGGTGCCAAGATGCAGGTAAGCAGAAGCTCAAGAGGAACTTGGAGAAGATCAACCAAACATGGTCTGGGGGATCAGGAAGGAGGTGACCCCTGATTTGAGGCCCCAAAGATGTATGGACAGGAGCGAGGCAGGCTAAGATGGTGAAGGCACTGAACACCAGCCTTAGGAATCTGGGAGTTCTGTGGAAATGGAGGTGAGTTGGGTGACTTATGGGTGAGGGCCACAGAGGGCCCTTACACTGAGCTGGTCCCAGCTGGCCAGAAGCCTGTCTCACAAGGGCTGGCTGTGGGTTAGTGGCAGGAAGGGTGTAAACCAGAGCATAAAGGAAGTGCCACACTCCTTCCTCTGTCCCAGGTCACATATTCACCAGTGGCTTTCTTTTCCTCTGCTCCCTTTTACCCAAGGATAAGAGATGACCCAACAGGGAGTCCTCATTCCATCTCTCATAGCAAGAGCCTCTGGGCCTTCAAACCAAATCTCATGAGACCTCTGAGGGGACATGAGATGAGGCGAAGAAGACCTAGGGCTTGCCCTCAGGGGGCTTGGGGCTAGCTGCAGACCCAGGAGGTGGAGATAACTGCAGCTCACAACTGCACAGGTGGAGCAGTTGTGCCAAGGGCTTTCTGATAAAGAGGAAGTGGACTCTTAAATAAAGAGTAAGCGGACTCTGGGTCTCAGCAAGGCCGTCCAGTGAGATCCAGGTACAGTAATGTGGGGTGTAGGAGGGATGATGGGGAGGTGTCTGAATCCCAGGATTTGGGAGGTTTGGGTTGCAGGCAGAGGATGGGGATACAAAATGATGACAAAGGCATGGAGGTGAAAACTGGTAATGGTGACTAGGCTTAAGGCAGAGGGTGGAGCTAAACCTGAAGTATCAGGTCTTTGTGGCCAACAGGCAGAACAAGCCCTAGTTGATAAGAAAGACAAAGATTTCAGGTCTCCTGGCAGGAGGAGAAAAGGGAGAGGTGTTGTTTAATCACGGATATAGAGTTTCAGTTTTATGAGATGAGAAAGGTCTGGAGCTGCTTCACAACAGTGTGACTATACATCACACTACTGTACAGCACACTTAAAAGTTTCAGGTTTAGCATGTTAATGTGGTATTTGGGATAAGCAGTCACAGAGGCTTTTAAGGACTATCTCACGGGGAGATGGTAGGAGCCACAGCAATTCACAGGAGCCCACTGGGAGTTGAGGACAGGTTAAAAAGGAGTCAGCAGGGAGGTGTGGCTGCCAGAAACCCACGGCCCCTGGGCCATGGGCTGCTTCCCCAGCCCGGCCCCTGCTCTGTGTGAGACGCAGTGATGATCTGAAGTGTGTTTAGAGGCTGGAAGTGAGGTCTTATGGTTCAAGTGCTGGGCAAGCTCACCCTACAGAAGATTACACTCTGCAAGACACCGTGGAGGCCCCTGATGAATTCTGAGGCTCCAGAGGGAAAAGCTGGGGCCCGTGGGTGGAAAGGGTAGGACGACAGATTAACTCAAGCTGAGAAAGACCTTCCTACTGATCAAAGCTTTCTGAAGACTGAAAAGGGCCACTTCACACAATAGTGAGCACTCTACCACTTGGGGAATGCAAGCGGGTGAGCCCTCCTCAGGGGGATTCAGGCCCTGGGTGAGATGAGATCCTGTAAGGTCCCATCAGGGTGGGGGGAGAGGAAACAAGATGAACCGAACCAAGACTTGCAGGAGTTTCCTGAGCTTCTCTAAAGAGACAGAGTGACCGAAACGAGGGTGTGTGAACAGGCAAGGGCACACAGATGGGTACACACAGTCAAGGTGTAGGAGGGTCCCCACCTGAGTGGCAGGCTTGGCCAGGCCTATCCTAAAGCCCCTTCCAGTTCCCACGTCCCAGGCAGGGTCTCGTGGGATACCACGGGAACTGCGTGAGACTTAGCAGCATGTGCAGTGGTGGCCACGGAAGCATGAGGGGAGGGAGGGCTGCCTGGAGGAGGTGTTTCTACACCAGGAAGCATGAGGTGAGGAGGCAGAGGGCACAGAAAGGGCCAGGGTGGAAGGAACTAAGCACATCCGGGGCCCCTGAGGAGGTGGGGGGAGGAGGACAGAGAGTGGGTGGCTAGCGGGAAGCAAGTTTAAAGGCAGCCTGAGTGTAGGGGTTAGTTTGCCTTGAACCCCACGGTGCTGCAGGCCCCAAGCCTCCTTGGCAGACAGGGACAAATAAGGCTGCTAAAAACTAGGTCACTGCACTCCCAGAATGTGGGAAGTAAAGAGAAACAAAAGTGAAAGTTCCTGTGCCCAGAAGCTGAAGCCAGGCA